CTTACTGCTCATAATGAACTGCGTCGAACTTTGTAAATAGCTTGCAACGGGTTTACCACACACTGAGAGACTTGGCTGGACGGGGAACAAACTCACCGCACACCACGCTAGTAACTTTTATTGTTCTAGTATTCAGCCAACCCGGGTAATGTTGACAAAACGCGATCGGACGAATAGTTGAGCGTGCGCCCCATGTTCCAGTTCAACAGAAACAGCCGAATGAGGATGCACAAAGGAGGCTGTAAAATCGGGCACTTTTTCCCCCAATCGAAAACACAATAGGTTAGATATGCGACATAGAACGTTGCATTTACTGTATCTGAAAGTCTTTTAATATTTTCTTACTTCATCTTTCGTTTGAGAAAGAGATTAATATAAAGCTTCTTAACAGCTGCTATTTGTTCTGCTCATTTCTCCACACTATATGATAAATAAACGCGATACAAAAGCTGAGTAGGAACCGAAGTTAATCATCGACAGTTCCCATCGGGAACGGTTTATTTGTGATAGCAAATAAGTAACTTATCGAAATGGGATNAGTATGTGAATGAGAACACTACCCGTCCCAATTTGCTTTTCTGTGTCGAAAATTGAACACAGCTACATATACCCCTGTAAATTATGAGGAGGCCTAGATACGCTAGACTGTTATCTTTTCATATAAGAGTAGTCGAGAATTTGATTTCATGATAAATTTCTTCCTTTACAGATCAGATGTCCTTTTATGTTTCAAGAGTAAAACTTACGTTTCGGTGGACAGTCTGGAAATCCTCAAAGAAAACGATTTATGTTCGCATTTGACTCCATCACACATAGCACATCATCAGTGTGTCATTCGTACACGGTGTGCTGTCTGATTGAGGACTCAGGATGATCGTTTTCGATTTTGGCCATACACGTGTCGGCAAATTATGGCCCGAGAGGAAATTTCATCGAAACCCCATTTTTGACGAAATAGTTCGAAACCGAATTGAAATTAGATCTCAGGCCCGGCATGTAAATAACAATTGCTTCAATTCATTCAATGGAATGTCCACATTATTGTGGTTCTCTTGAATAAATTTGCACACGAGATAACTGGTTTCACTGAGTTTTCACGTGTGTAACGTCAGGTGAAACATCAAGGAACAGTATTTGTTTATTTTTGAGACTCAGGTTGGTCATGGTTTCTGCAAACTAAAAGGTGTCTCGCAGGCAGTCTGGAAACTGTAACTCCTGGTTGTCAAAGTACCCCGGGCGAACCGCTGCGATCAATTTCATCACACACGTATGCACATGCGTTCAGAACCAGATCTGAAACATTAGAGCTATCATTCTTGATTACTCTTTTTTTATTTCTATTCATATTGGATGTTATGTATTGGTATGATTACCAGGGACTGAAAATAAGTGTTTTCTTCACATGAAGTTGTTCTCAATGTAATCGACTGGACTATTCGAAGACTGGCACCTTTTATGAATAAGCGTTTAATGATTCTTGTAGAAGCATCAACTTAACAAATGTGAGCAACATCCGGTCATGGAACTGATGTGTTGAGTATTTCTTTTCCAACTTGCCATGAGTCCCCCAGTAGACTGCATTAGCGTGTAGAAGAATCACCAAAAACGAGCTTGTTCGCTACTCTGTGTTTTACAAATTTTAATGATAGTATATTCGGACAAATAGGGTAATACCGCGTAACAACAGACCAGAGTCACCTAGTTTGGGGAACTGTTTGTTCATCCTCGTGTTCACCGAATGTGATTGTTTGAATTTCAGTCTGGCCTAAAGCAAACTACATCAGGTGGGTACGTTAGCTGCGGTAGTACACTGGTATCTCTCCCTACTTATTGGATGCACTGATATCAAAAAATACAAAGAATTATGGTTAAGCTCACACTCCCTTTTCCCGCTACTCAGTCCGGTGCAGTAGTAAAGCACCCTTCGAAACCGAAGTGTTTAGCACAGTCTGAACTCAGGCGTTGTATATATATATATATATATATATATATATATATATATATATATAGCATCTGATCCACTATTGACAGTTTGTGTAAATTACCTCACTTTCGCATCGAGATTTCTATGCTTATGGTTCAAAGGAATATATAAACGGATTGAAACGGTTCGTTCGACTTGATTCTCGTGACAAATGCATGTTCTGTTGTCCACTAGGTATGTTCTCACTATCGTAGTTCGGACAAGGTTATCAGTGTTAATGCAGTGCTCTATTGTGCCATGATCTCGAACTGGCGCTAAGTGGCTGCCGAGGTACTCGCTTCTTAGTGTTCGAACCTCCCGCGTGTTCGTGTGTTCTCTCCTCGTGAGACACCGCGCGAACCTACCGATGACGTCCCATTTATGTTCTCGACCCGTTAATACTGTCACAATGAGGTTTGTGGGTTCTCTGTCGGAACGCGCTTGTGCTTCATATTGTGTGTTGTTTGTGAGCGGTCCACAACAGAACTTATGGTCCTGTTTCAGATCTCTTATTTGGTTGATACACCACCGTGGTGTATCTTTTCATTGAATGAAAAGATAACAAGCTGACTCTTACTTCCGCGTAAAAGACCTACGAATTATTATGTCCCCTATTAAATCCGGTCCCATCTTATCCCAAGAGAATTCACGCAGCATCGCCTTCACCGTGCGACACTTTCTGGATGTGCCAAATGTTTGTTCTTGTCCTTGTCATTTCAAAAGCAATCCGTGCTTCAGAAATAAACACCTGCAAATGATTAATTGAATTAGCACTGGTGTTAATTTAACGCAAAACCTCAAACAGGACCTGGAATTACGTTTTCATCACTTGAACCTGACCCCCAAGTCATTGTTTTCCACAACAGTACTTGACGTGACATAATAATGATCAATAAAGGAAAAAAGAAAACAAGCTCACATCTTTTTATCATTGTTGTGGCCATTTGATTTGTTTGTACAAAAGCGATCAGCATGCTACGAGCTGGTCCGCTGAGGAATGCATGAAAATCACCCTTGTCATCATCGTCCTCAACAGAACACGCATCTGAGACAATAAGTCGAACATGGGTGGAGTTAGGGAGGCGGGAAACGTGAACTAGCGGTTAGCGCTCACTACATGGGGTTCGAAACAGCCCCGGAGACGTGTTCGAATTCAGAGGAGCCGAAGTGGTTGGTGACACTGGGAAGGAGTTGGAAACCACTGAGTGAAAATTCAGGGAACGCAATGTTTAGTCCGACTGAATGACACAGATCAAAGGACACAAGATGAGACGGCCATGCTGTCCATTCCACAAATCCACGGTGGGAAACAGACAAGATCTAATGGGACCCCAAAGGGGGTTTACAGAGGATGAACGAAAATTGTATACACATGGATGGTCAGGTGTGACAACCGATAGGCTGGTCACTTCCCGAGGATTTATGCAAACTTTATCCGCATAGACATTTTGAAACAGGAGAAATGAGATAACGATGGCGACAGAGACAGGTGGGAGCTGACAGGGAGGGAGGCAGAAAAGGTGAAGCATTGGAGACTTTTGTGCGTAAAAGTTTACGCCGACAAGACAGTAGAGCATGAGATTAAAATTCAGGCCAAGCCACAAACTGATAACGATCAGTAATTGGAAAAGGGAGAAATGGATGGAGACAGCGATAAAAATCACTTACCGACTCAATAGAACATATCATACAGTAATGAACAAAAATGGGGTTCCATAAATGTGCATACGGTGAGCGCGCTCAAGAGAGAGAAATCAAAAATGCATGAGGGGGAAACAAGCCCGCCGGCGGGTAGTGAGGACCGGAGTGGGGGAAGGGAGGAAGTCCCCGATAGACCGGGTGGGACAGAGAAAAACGAGGATTGTGTGGAATCACAAAACGCTTATGTAAATGAAAAAGACTACCCTAGGTGGTTGTTTTGAACTGCCTGATAACAACAACAACGATTCCATGGGAAGAAGAATGAGAATGGCAAGCATACAACGAAAACAAGAACGGTCGTAGCAATATAGCTGCAATGCCAGTAGCAGAAGGGAAAAATGAAGATGGAATCGAGAGCGTCAGACCAATAAGATCCGAAAATGAAAGCGAAGCAGAACCGAGTAAATGAACGAATACTGACAGGCTGTGATATGATAGACAGTAGAGAGAGAGAGAGAGAACAACCACAGCATACATGTCGACAGATTACCAGGCAAAAAACGGAGATAGCTGTGTGTGAGAGAGAGAAAGAGAAAGAACAAGAAACGAAAAGTGCGCACTCAGGCATTTCGGAAGTCCATGTTTGGATGAATGCGATCAATATGAAGTGCACAAAACAAACGCGGTCGTCTGTGTGTTGTGTTTGGCGTACGGGTTGAGTTGGACGCGAGTCGATGTTGATGGTTCGATTATGAAAGACCGTGGTAAAAGATGAGCAAGAGTAAGAAAGGGGGTGGACAGTGGCAAACAGAAACCAGGATCTGATTTCGAGAAGCGGGGAACAATTGAACGAAACAACAACAATAGAGGGATGAATGTATGGATCCATAAAATAGGAGATTCTTCGGATGAGCCGGCGATTCTTCTAACGATCGTGAACGAGAAAGGCAAACGGGATTGCGAGAGGAACAGAAAAAATTGGCACCAGAAGTCAACGGACATCGTAAAACCTGAACGAAGCATCTGCTGAATCTCAGCATGTGTACGTACTGAAGAAGAACAGAATGGGAGAGTAAAGAGAGACTAGCAGTAGATGAATGTGCTCATGACGCGACCACACGTAGTAAGGGCGAAAAATTCCCAGATGGAAGTCACTGCAATCATTACGAAGCCTTGAATGTGCAACTGAATCAGCGCCAATAAGTGAAAGAGAAAACTCATGGCAGTCTTGTATGCGTATGAGAACATGCAATGGCACCCGACAACCATAATTAGAGCCATTAAAATGCGTTCGAAGACCAAGAGAGCGAAGTGAGCTCGGTAGAATGGAAGATTTGACGAACAAATAGATGAATTAGTGGAAACGTGGAAGAACGAAAGAAGACGATAAATCATTTCAATCCACATGTTGAGGCGAGTTCGGGCGAACCGATGGAGCTGAGGTGGCCGGAACCGAACTGCTGGTGTTTGTTGGAAGCAGGGAAGGAGTGGATTGTACTAATTGTAATCGAGCCTGTTGCGTATTCAAGTGCTCCCACAATTCGGCAGAGACAAACGGACGTAAAGCGTAGAACGCTGCCTGATAACCACGCAATCGAGTAACCTCTTCTTTCAGACGGTCCACTTCAGCAAGCAAATCAGCAGCCTCAGAATAAGCAGATAGTAATTCATCCCGGACTGTATTCACAATACTCGTGCGTATCGTGTCCTGAGATACGGAAGGATGGGGAAAATATTGCAACATTTTTTGCGAAATTATGTTTGTGCGATAAGTTCCACGTTATTTTTTAAGATTATTCGAATTTCATTTGAAATCGACTAGCGCGCACCATACGAGTGGGAAATGCAGCTTTAGGTGAAGGCAACTTGAAAAACCAGCATTAAGAAGCGCAAAATTAGTTCAAACAACCGAACCAATAAGTGGAAAACTGCGAAAGCATTTAACCAATCGGATTAGCTTACCAACTGTAAGCGGGATTACGAGCGAATCTCAGTGGGCTCCAACTTGCCTTTGGTTTCAATGCGTCATAAATTAAGAGGCTGGAGTGATCTAATTACACGGCCAACCATCGAAGACCGTTACACATAGAGAATAACTAACCGTGGATACATCCATGTGCGTGTATGTCCACATCTGTCGAGAAACCGGGCACCTAGACAGAATTGATGTGGGTCCCTCGAACGTGAAACAGAGAACCTCTCTCTGTTGGGGTTCATCACTGTCACTTAGGTCTTGAACAATTCTATCGATGAGACGCGATGATTGAAATATCGGAAGCCAAAAGCAAGCGAATATACAAGTGAGCTCCAGACAGAACAATGATTGCATTTACGGAGACGAAAGGATAAATCTACAGTTGCAGCTTTGCAAAGACCTTTAGTATCGGGCAGGAGAATGAATGAAAACTACGAAGCTTTGCTAGGGTTTGGAACCCGTAAACCCAAAGCGGTGGCGAGTATACGTAATCTCTTTAGCTGAATAACATTTCCTTCATCCTTCACACGTGCTATGCAGTTTGATTCTGTATCCACCGTTTGATTTTCTACCATTGGAAAGCAACCAAACCCACGATTAACAGAAATGACCGCAGTTGAACGAAACAGTTGGATCGGTCAGCATTTTCTCTTGATCGTGCGATCAACCACGTTGGACCAAATCTACTCACAATTCGCACAAGGAAGCACTTCAGTTCCAATAGATGAAATGTGATCACGTTTCACACTACTTAACCGACTATTGCTCTCATCGATCAAAGTTTACCAAAGTAATTCGATCAGTGATAAAAAGTTCATACAGCAAGGTCGTAAACAAAGATGGTTGCCTCTGTAGCTCGGACTGAGTAACTTGACGATTCTACTGCTAGGGTTCCACTCGAAGTGACAAAGTGCAACTCCATTATAAAGACCAAACGTTTGCAAGCGAAGTTCAAAGCTTCGAGAGTAACTGAAAACCAAGATCAAAAATACACAAACGAAAACCTCGAGGCGGACCTTGTCCAGGATACCGCCTAAGTGTATCGATTCGCTTAAAAAATCGCAAATCAGAACAAGAAATATACAATTGTATTAACACGTTCCGTGACGTTACTATCAAGCTGCAAAACGGCCATTCGCAGTAGGACTAGTCTTGGCATGTCATTTAATCGATCGACCGCGCTATAAGTTTATCTACCTCTTACTTTTATAAGGCTTCATGAATTCACCATTCCTAATAGCATTATCTATTTTCTCTAAAAGTGAACCTTACTAATCTGTACCGTCAAGCGTTACCTGTAGGTAATTGCCATGGCCTTATTTAGTGTCGGACCGGATTCACACGCTTGAAGAAAGCAAACTGATGAACATACACATGAAGATTTCGAAGCAGTATCGGGTTAGTTAAACTATTGTCATATCGGTTAACTGAGCGATCTTGTGGTTACCGATTACATATATATACTCGCCATATCGCCACTTTTTTAGACGGCATTAGGCTTTGATTTCGTTTTCTGATTTTCTTGATCCCGTAATGAAATCTTATTTGGTCACATTCAAAGCAGAGGTCAATACAAGGTGTACGTATGTGGTTCTGTTGCGGGATAAACCTAAGCCACTCTGGATACTGGTCAAAGATTGAAATCAAATGAAAAGAGGCTTGAACCGATGGAAAAAAATAGTGACCCAAAAAACTGTAAACGTAACGATAATGGTTAATTTCTTACAGTACAAATGGCAAACGCCCATTCCAATTTTCCGAAGCCGATTGCGCAGTTTAGGCATTTTGACGATTCAGAGGTTTTATAGATTAACTTAGTACATCGTGTCTACCTGTTTGGGTATCTCTAGAGTTGATTAAATTCTCGCCATTGGGAATCTAAAAGTAAAACGTTTTTGACAACTTTTGCTAAACATTTCAGGACAACATTGTAGCATTCATGCAAGGGTGAGAAATCGTTCGCACTGCAAATTACCGACACCCGTGAACAAAGATTCAAAGATTTATTATGGGAATAACTTACAAGCTCATGCTTTTCTGGTCCCAT